TGCGGGCGCATCCATTTAATGATGCGGCCGACAACTCCAGCCCACTGCTGCTGCTTCTGGCTTGACTGCTACACCGCCCCCAGCAGCGGGTGTAGTGGGACTGGGGACGAGAACACAGTGGACGAAGTTCACTCGGATGGTGCTGGCGGTCCCGTCAGCGTCTCGTCGACCCCAGCGACCCACCCACATCACCAGCAAGCACAGAAATGGACGAGACAGGGAAGGCATCAACAGACTACCAGGGAAACAATTGCTTTTTCACATTACTTTCAGCCAAACAACCGGAAGAATTCACAACAACATCAATCACCAAAAACGACAAAGGAACAGCGACCACCGCGGCCACCATCGGCAGCACCGCAGGCTTCCACAAAAATTCCCCTCTTTTGCTTCTTCCTGTTACGTGTGCAGCTGCTGCTGCGGTGGTGGCTGTGTCTGCATGAAGTGGTGTGCGCCGAATATGGACTAAGGCCCAATGCAACTGAACTGTTTTTGTGATGAATATTGGCTGCACTTCCCGTGGACCAACAATTCTCGTGGTGTGCGGGGACATCTTTCCCTTTATTGTTGCTTTGGCTTTTTGGGCTGCTGTGTGCGCTGCATCTATTCTCGTGTGTGTGTGCGTACTCTCCGTGAGGGGTGCAGACACGACGGACCGCTCTCGCCGTGTGTGCATGCGGTGGAGCCTTGTGTGCCGCTCCTGTTTGCTTCTCCCTCTTCCATCTGTGTGTGTGTGCCTGCTGCCGTGGATTGGAGTGTGTGTCGTGCGTGGTGTGCGGCGTACGGTGCATGCCTGGCTGCTGCTCTCTCCTCATGTGGTTTGCCCTCTCTGTGTGTGTCTGCCGCACCTCTCGTCTCCCCTGTTGCTCTCCATGTCCCTCACTGTGCAGATAAGCTCCACACGACTGAATGACCACACTCACGATGGTGACGTGCCGTCTGCTGTACGCCCTGCTGGTGCTTGCCCTGTGCTGCTGCCCGTCCGTGTGCGCGGCAGAAGGTGGTGGTCAGAAGCAGGAAAATACCACTACGACTACCACAACAAAGCCACCAACTACGACGACCACGACAACAACAAAGCCACCAACTACGACGACCACGACAACCACGACCACGACCACTGCGCCGGAGGCACCAAGCATTACGACTACAGAGGCGCCAAATACGACGACCACCCGTGCGCCGTCAAGTATTCGCAGAATTGACGGCAGCTTCGGCAGCTCTGCGTGGGCGTGTGCCCCGCTGCTTCTCGCCGCATCCGCACTGGCGTACACCACTCTGGGCTGAAGAGGTGTGTGCGGGCTGTGCGTGCCAGCACTCAGCCACGGGGACATGTGTGCGTCTACCGTGGTCCGATGTATGAAGTAAGAGTACTTATGATGATTGTGTTTTGCTTTGCTTGCTTCTGCTGCCATGCTGTGTGCTCCGCGTTGTGCACCACATCCGCCACGTTGAACGCATCCCAGACACACTCATATGCATGCGCACTGGAGCCTTGGGTTTGTTTTTTCTTGTTCTTTAATTCTTTTTTTAATTTTTTTTTTAATTCTTTTTTTCGTTGCTTCTGCTTTTATAACTTCTGTGTTGTGGGGCGGTGTGCGAGTTCTGCAATTGTACTGATTCCATCTGTCTCATGTTGTGTTTGTTGCTGCTGCTGCTGGGCTGCTGCCGTTTGTTTTTGTGCGGTGGCTGTGCGTGGTGTGGCGGTCGTATTTCTCTCTTTGTTTTCGCTGCGTTGACGTGTTGTTGGTTTGTGCTGGAGGCTGCACGCAAGTGACGGGAGTGATGGCGATGATGGTGCCTGGCCGTGTGCTGCTGGTGTGTGCCCTCTGCGTGCTGTGGTGCGGTGCCAGCGGTGTCGGCCGATGCTGGGGATTATGATGTTTCTTGTGGTCATGGAACTTTGTGCGGAATTGGAGTTGGTGTTGACGGTGAACCCTCCGCCCGGTTGGTAGTCATGCATCTACTGGAGGTACAAAGGGTGAATGTTTTCAGGGAGGTGGAGGTGACTCTCCGGGTTCTGCTACACCCGCTTGCACATCGTCACCTGCCGATGCGGAAGAGTCCGAGGGTGGGGCTTTAAATGGCCCCAAGAAGGATGTATCCCGTGTTGAGGAGGACCCCGATGCAGCGCAGGACCCGCTACAACCAGGTCTCACGTTGTATCGGCAGCCGAGGTGATGGCGGCACAACCGTGAAGGAAGAAGTGACTGGTGTGGAGAGCAGCGACACTGCTGACTTGCCCCCAACGAGAGCCACGCACCACAAGCAGCACGACCAGTGACGGGGGAACCGGAAGGCACAGGGAAACAGGCAGCATCGAAGGCGTTATCAACGCCAGCAGAGGGACGAGGGATATCAGGCGCGACGGATCAAAAAGTGGACTCACCAAAGGAGGAAGCCGCGTGCAGCGCAGGTGCCACAAACAGTCGGTCACCTGTCGGTCACCAACAAACCGAACCTTCATCTCCCTCTACGAGTGGAGGTACTTAGACTTTGACCCCGGAAAAGGAAC